CCTATCGAATAATCGTAGCGTTAGCGTAGAAACGCATTGCTTCTTTAGCTGCCTAAACGCTTCGTCTTCCTTCGTGCTCTAGTTCTATTTCTTGTCTTTCTTTGTAAGCTCCGTAAGGGGTACCGCTATCTTAGAGTAGCCCTCGATGAATTTTCTATTATAGTTAGCTAATCCTAGGAATAATTGTACGTCTTTAACGCATATAGGCGTTAGCTATTCCTATATTGACTTGGTTTTTTCTAGATCGATCCTAATTCCTATAGTACTAATAATAAATCCTAGGAACTTAACTTCCTTCTTATAGAATTCGCATTTCTTAGGTGTAGTCTTAAATCCTACTTAAGTAAATCGTTTAAAGACGTCCTACACTATTCGTATATAGTCCGCGAGAGCTCCCTTAGTACAGACTAAGATATCGTCTATATATACGATAACGTATATATCTAGAAGGTCTCGGAGGACTTCGTTTATAAGGTCTTAATATAACGCTAGGGCATTTGTAAGTCCTATAGGCATAACTAAGAATTCGTAAAGCCTATATCTTATTCGGAATGCTATTATCTATTCGTATCTAGCTGCTATACGTATTGCGTAAAACGTATCGCGTAGGTTAATCTTCGTATACTAGTCTAATCTAGTTAATCGGTCTTGCATTTCTTCGATATTCGGTAGTAGGTACCGATTCTTAATTGTAATGTCGTTAAGTCGTCTAAAATCGACTACTAGCCGTCCTTCGTCTAATCCGGCTTTCGGAACGAATATTACTAGTAAGGCTGCCGAGGATGTCGACTTCCGTATCTAGCCTTTTTCTAATTTCTCTTTTAGCTACTTGTCTAGGGTTTTAAGCTCTTTCTTAGACATTGCGTATAAGGGTCCCTATAGAGGCTCTTTCCTAGGCTATAAGTGTATCTTATAATCCTATAGTTAGTGTTTAGGTAAGGCTGCCTTGCCTCTCTCCTCTTTAAAGAGTCGCTTCTACTTACTATACTCTTTAGGAATGTCTAGGTCCGAGATTCTAGTTTTATTCTTCGATAGCGTATAACTTCTATCCTTCCCGTAATTATTATTATAACCCTCCTAACCTAACGGTAGTGTCGATCCGGGTTAAATACGGTTCTCCGTAATTCCTATCGACGTAAATGTCTTACGAGTCGCCCTACGTTTATTAATCTTATCTGCCTACGAACGCTGCCGCTATATAGGTTGAATGCCGATTATATAGTCGCATTCCTTAAATATAAGTACTCCTCTTCTCTAGTCTACGACTAGGTTATGCTTTCTTAACTAAGGTATGCCTAATACAATATCGTAACTAGCTATATTAGTAACATCTAAGACAATCTCCTCGTAGTACTATTAGATAGCTAGTAGTAATAGTATCGTTTCTCGTTCTACGCTAGGTAGCGGTGACCTATCTACTGCTATAAGTTTATACGCTCCTTCTCTTCTACTTCGGGTTGCGATCCCTCGGCTTTTAACGAATAATTCGGAGGCAAAGTTCCCGCTCGCTCCGGAATCTATTAATATACTCGTCGGGTACCCGTTAACGATAACTTTTATACGGAAGACTACTATTAATGCTTAAGCGCTTTCGGTATTAAGGAACTCTCTTAGAACGCTCTAATCTAGAGAGTTAGTCCGTTTCCCGACTAATTAGTAGCCTAACGTTATTCTAACTAGCTACGGATCCGTAGTCCTACCGTTCGTGCTTCTTCGGTATATAATTTTTCCTCGAGGGTATCGTTATATATATCCCGTCCCTACGCTACTATAGCCTTTCGATATTGCTAATTTAATCGCTAGACCGTCTAACGTATATCTTAAGTAATAATCGTCCTTTCGTCGGATAGGACGTATCCGTAGGGCGTAATTATACTTCCTATCGGTACTCGCTCCGTAATAAAGTTATAGTACGTATAGTCTATAGGTATCCGGGGGTAATTCTAGAATTTTACCCGTAAGCTTATCTAGAAATAATCAAATTAGATAGGATCGACCTTCCGTTATCCGTTAACCTTTAGAAACATTTCCTCGTATTTGCGTACTAGATATAAGGCGATTGTTCGCGCTGCTATAGGTGTATCTATTATAAACGTAAGGATCGTATCGTCGTTAATCCCGAATTCGTCTTTACTTTCTTTATTCGTAGTTTCTTCCTCGGTATCTAGACTTCCTTCTAAATCTTCTTACTATTCCTCCTCTTGCTAAGGGGACTCCGGTACTTCTAGGATAGCTCCTAACTCCTCCCCGGGAGGGAATAAAGCTTCCGGATCTCGGTTTTCTTTATCGTCGGTATCTAAGTAAGATTTATTAATCGTTTCTTCTTCTAACTAGGATTTCGTATCTTCTCGTACGAGTCGCCTAATCTAAGGGAAGAATCCTACTTCTACTTTAGCAGAATAATGAATTTAGTATTAGTCGTCGTAATAGAATCTCTAGTAAAGGGTTCTATATACAGGTTCTTATCGTCGTACTATTATATAGATTTGTCGTAGCTCTTTCTTTACGACCTCTACGTAGGTCCTCGGCGCGTTATTAATAGAGTATAGCTCTACTATTATTCGGTAGCCTTCTCTGCCCGAGTCCTTTCGTTATATTATATTAAACTGTTCGCGTCGTACTATATTCTTACCGCGGCAGTTCCGTACTATATAGCCTTCTTTACTATACGTATAGCAAGTCAATCTTCCTACTTTCTTAGGCGAACTCTTGCCTTTTCTTCCTTTAATTGCTCGACCCTTCTAGGTAGCGTCTAGCTCTATTAGTTGCGTACTATAGTAGTTATTCCCCTTTAGTTTATCGTAGGTACTATAGTTTCGTCTATTATCGTATCTAGGAGTATAACTAGCTTTTCTAGAAGTCTTAGAATCGTAACGTCGTTCTAAAGCTCGTTCGTAGAGCCTATCGTCGAGATCGATCGTAACCTTAACTAATGTTCCTATATTATCTATTTTTCTACCGTCGCGTATAAGCTCGTCTTTAACGTTATCCTTAAGACCTCGCCGATATATTGTTATAAGAGCTTCGTCGTCCTAATCCGTAAGTTAGGCGTATTCCTAAAATTTAGCGGCGTAATCGGTATATAACCCCTTCTAAGTTAAGTATTAGATAACCCTAACTGCGGTAGCAACCTCGTTAGAAGATCTAAAGACCTTCTTTATCGTATGCTTAAGATTTTCGTAGCTTGCGAAGATTCTATCCGAATTGTCGGTCCTATTGCTATCTAGATAGGTCCTAAGAAATAGTTTAACCTAATGCTAAGCCCTACCTCGTATAAACGTCGTTACGAAGACTAGCTTTAAGTTGTCTTAGACCTAGTTGAATATAAAATATATATCTATCTAGCTAACCTAGGTATTGAACTTGTCTCGGTCGCCGTAATAAAAGTCTAGCTTTCCGATCTTAAGAGAATCGTTTCCGGTATAGGTTCCTAGTATATTGCTAATACTAGAGGTAGTCCGTCGAGTACTACCTATCTCGCTAGGGGCGGGAGTTCCCCTTCCGACTTATAATAAGGCACTTATCCTAAGGGCGTTTAAAGTGTTACGGTTACTCGCGACAGATCGTTAGGTGACTTCTTATTACGTATAAGCCGAGGCTTCTTTAGAGAGGCTAATATAAGCGGGAGGTAGAGATAGAATAATTAGTATAAAGGTAATTCCAATTAGTAAGTAGGTAACATAAGTTGAACGCCTCGAGCTATAAGGGCATTCCGGCGTTCCTAAATACAAAGGAGACATCTTATCTATAGTCGTAAGCGACGTAAGCGACGCTGTCGCTCTCGACCGCTCCTATCGCTCCTAGTAAGATAGAGCGACAGCTTAGCCTACTAGTCTTAGCGTCGCTCTAAGATTATATAAGGACTCTAACTAATTAGATCCGTAATATACTAGTCTAGCGTCCCGTATCTACTATAATAAATAATCTAGACAATCCTATAGAATATATCGATTGAATTTATTTTTTAATTGTTTTAAAGACCTTAAGTAGTAAGTTTCTAGTAAGTAATATAGTAGAAGTATACTAGGTTAAAATTTTAGAGTCTATACCTAATACTATTGCTATAAGTAAGCGGTCTAAGTTACTTAGACAAATAATCTAGTAAAATCTATTCCCGAAATTACTTTCGAATTGTTTTATAGTACTTAGGTAGTAGCTTTCTATTAGGTAACATTGTATAAGAGCTCTTATAGTATACCAAATAAACCCTTTTCTATTTAGCTATTTAGTTAGTTATACTAGTAAAATATTTCAAATGCTTTAGAGAAATCTATCTTATTTTATACTATTAGTTTACTTAGCTAGATATTAAAGACTAGAATCCTAGAGTTTCTAAGTTATTTCTATAGGTACTTAGTACTTAATATAGCAGCATAAGTTTTCTATACTGCCCTAATTTATAGTTAGAATAAAGAGATAAAACTATAGTATCTACGATCTCGAATATATTTACTTAGAAATTTAGTTCGAATTCCTTAGAAACTATAGCCTATTTATATAAAAAACTAGTACTTAATATAGTAATAGGGTCCCTATAGTTCTTATATCTTAGTCGTAGAGTATATAATTACTTTAAAGTAAAATGTATTTTCTATATTTAAATTATAATATAAAACAACTATAGTATAAAACCGCTAGGCTTAGTAAGTTCTACTGTTTATTACGGTATATATACGTAGCGAACTCAACTTTAACTTGTGCCTTTCGCTTATATAATTACTATTATGCTCTTATTTAGTCTCTATTTTAAACTTTTTTTAAACTTTTTTTAATATCTTCTTCTCTTTCTATTATTATAGTTTTATCTATACTAAGCTAGTAGTTGCCGACGAGTAATAGCTAGTATCCTAAATACTTGTAAGAACTTATTATAGATATAGTATCCGGCCTAATTAAAAAGTTATCCTTATACTACGGAAGGATCCTACCCGATCTACTCTCGAGGGGCGGAGGTTTTTAGCATTTGTAAGATACGAAGACTGCGACGAGAGTGCCGTGTTTTAAATTGGATTACAGAATGCTACAGTGCAGTTGATAATACTAGCAGCAGGCGGAATCGCTCCTTCGCTCTCGTCTAGCTCGTAGGCGCCCCAGACATACTAACACGTTCCACATTACCGCGGCGTCCCACATTACCGCGGCGTCCCAACGTCCTTCCCTACACTCAGTCAATTCGCACTGCGCAAGAGCGTCTAAGTCCCAGCAAACCTCGGTCTCGAGCGTCGCTACCCCGATTGTCTTTCGAAGTGCTACAGATGTAGATGTAAGAGCAGTTCGGAAGTGATGCAACACGCCGACATTGTCGCGGAAGGAAAGGCCTTTTCCGACAAGGACGGCTGGACAGAGCTGCTTTCCCACAACCTCGACTTTTCTCATCCTCGATTTACCTCTTGACACCCTCCCTCCTCGTTCCCAAAAGATCCCACCAACCCATCCACATATCCGGAACCTTTCTCCCCGTACCACCCAAAGGACCCAAAGTCCCACAATGCGAAGATTGCCAGATCTTGTATTCGTCATCTTCTGAGTCCATTATTGGCTTCTTCTCCTTCTCGCTCTGCTTTTCCTCCGCCGTTTGCCTTTGACTCGCTTCGCTAAGCAAACCCTTCGCCTCCCTCCATGCCTCACAAGGATGCTTTCCCCTCCTCAACTCCAGAATTTTCTCGATGGGCGCACGATCAACCTCTATCGTATTCGTAGTCGTGGAAAAATGAGAAATCCAGCGCCGGAGATAATTTCCAAGATCGTGATCGAGATCACATTCCGTCGGGCCTGATACGACGGAAGCGTCATCGCATACACATCGTCGGTTATGGGCCCATTCGACAGCATCAGCGTGTTCCTGCGTTGCTTTAAGAAATTCGTGGAAAGATGTACGGGCTCGGGGGTATTCCGGGTTCGATAAAAACTTCGTCATGATGAACTCGAGCAGGCGCAGACTGTATGGGTAGAGTTCACGACTAAGAATTGGACGGAAGAGGGCTTGATAGATGTAGCTCAGAGTGAATTGGTTCGTGTTCTTGCCACTCAATGGCGACGGCAGTCTGCGAGCATCGTCCCAGAACGTCGGGTTCGTAGGGAGAGAATTGAGAGCGGCGAAGAGGTTGATGTTGGTGAGTCCGACTTTTCGGGAAGTGGAAAGTGGGCCACCTGACTGGACGAGTACCCATTGGGCTTCGGTGATGGACAGTGCGAGGGATGTAAGATCGTAGCCTTTTGAGTCGGCTGGGTTCTTTTGTCGTGTGCTGGCAGTGGTGGCGGCTGCACGAGCATTGCAGCGTTTATGCATCGACCTTTGCAACTCTGGTCTAGTTTCGTAAACATTTTGCTCGGTCTCCATTTTCGAGATGGTCTTGGACGAGTAGAGTGTTTGTCGAACCAGCTCAATGTTGCAGTAGCTTGCGTTCAGTTGCCTGCCCATTGGGTTCAGGTGGAGAGCCATTCCTTCCGTCACTGGGAACATTCTGCCTGCCACTATCCTATGAAGGTCGAGGTTGTTGGCATCGTAGGCTCCACAATGCCGCGTTATGACGAGTTGGTCTCCTAGGCGCAGGAGGAGGAATTGCATAGTGGTGACAATGGTTAGCCCTAGGAACCAGATGCAAACAGAGCCGAAAGCCTTCGGGAGATTGCTGCGGCGGAAGTATTGATACATCTCGGAAATCATGAGGCAAATGAGAGTATACCAGCCGAATCGGAGGGCGAAGTATCGCGCAATCCATACCGCATAGCTGGGTCGATGACGGACAAGGTAGAGAAATGCGGCGCCGAGAATGGCATCCAGGTAAGCAATCATAGCCGGTGGTGGGAGAGGGGATCCGTTTTTTGCGAGTTGGAGAAAGGAAAGATGTTGTAAGTGAGCTGATGTGATCTAACGCGAGTTGAAGGACGATGGAGTGGGTGAGTCAGAATCAACTATTCTTTGTCTCCTTTTGGCGTATACTTCAAGTCTTCAAGTCGGCATCGCAGAGACAAACACCAGGATCAGCAGTGGTACAAGGTCTTGCGGAGTGGGGCCGCAACGTGGAGTCCTTTAATGCAGGCTTAAGCTGCCTGGACAGATGTCAGTCCCAAGGTAACTGTTTCGATGCTTCCTTGACCGTGGCTGAGACAGATTTCAGTCCCAAGATAGCTGCAGGGTCTTTCGGTGCTTCTTTTAGAATGCCCGAGACAGATGTCAGCCTCAAAATACCTGCAATCTCAAGAGCAAAGACATGTCTGCAAGGAAATATAAGAACAGGAGATTTGGGCTGGCGGAGCAAACGAAGGTTCTCCGCCACAACGGGGACCATTGGCGGCAAGTAGGCAGTCAGCTTTTCACCACATGCAATTACAAAAGCCATCGACACATTCAATGCAGCTCCGCCCTCGCCGCACGACGACAGAGACGCAGTGGACAACCAGCGGTCAGGTGTTGGGAGGCAAGAAAGCGAAGGAGAGTCGCCTTCTCAGCAACGACAAGGTAAAAAGGCGGATGAAAGCTTGACGCTGCGACATGAACAAGGCTGATATGATGGCGTGCAGGCAAAGCCCAATTGTGAGCCCGGCATGGCGCCAAGATTGAAGCAGAGGCTGCAGTATTTTGTGGACCAACACCCATTCATCTTCGCGGCCCTAATGGCGGCGCTTGCTGTGGTGATTGTGCTTTTGGTGCAGGCCACATTGAGCGGCGCAGGTGTGGATAAGCAGCGCTCTTGGTCGGAGGCTGATGCGCATGAGGAGGCTTCTGATAACGATGTTCGGAGGATTGTGCAGACGGTGTTCTGCCCTTCACACAAAGGTGAAGCTGGCGTGCAGGCTTGTGAGGTCACGTATACTCAGAACGACGATGGGATGTGGCAGGCGCTCGAAACGGGTTTGCTCTAGTTGTCCTACCTCCATTCAGCCTCGTGGGCATAAAGAATTGAGTTGCGTGAATAGGAATAGGGATAATATTGCGACTGAGTGCACATTGCGACCGAGTGCACGTGATAGATTAGTAATTAGGGCTAGCTTCCGAACTTACCGACAACTAATTACGAGCACTCTACCTAATTCTTCGCCTACGAGCCTAATAACAAAGCGCCCTAACCTAGCCTACGACATACTACTTTTTCGCGACAACGTAAATACAACAATCTAAATAGACGAGATTGTAGAGCTGCTAATTGCGCTTTATTCTGTCTAAAAATCTTTAGCGTCCGACGTTAGTACGTTAAGATTTCGCAATTCTACTAAGCCGACTCGCTTATAGCTATACGACTTTGTAGACGGCTAGCTATAGCGCTAATATACGCTAACACTTAACATACAATATCTAGTGTTTTAATACCTAGAGCCCCTTCTTCTAGACACGGCGATTATTATTAAAGTAGGCGAAAAATCCGTCCGAAGCCTCGCGACCGCTATATAGCCTTCGAGGGCAAACGATAACCTTCCTATAGTCGACTCGATACCTAGAGATCCTTGCCTAGCTATTTCTAAATACCTTTTGTATATAGTATAAGTCTACGCGAGTCGTAGTTGTTATATTATTATTATATAGCGGACGCGACTCTAAAGCTATAGCCGACTACCTAAAGTCGACTTAAAGAATACCTAAAACTTACTACTAATACCTCTAACAATATATCTAATAATACTTCGGAAGGTCTTTAAGATTAAGAAGTCCTTTAAGATGTCTAACGACCCTTCTAGCGATATTACGGAGTATAAGTACGACGAAGATAGCAACCTAATACCGATCTAGCGCTAATAAGACAACGGCGGTAATCTAAGCGATCTAGTCGAATAGGATCTAGAAGATGCGCTACTGCCCGGCGAACTAGGTTATCTAGGTTATCTAGGTTATCTAGGTCTAGCAGGTTAGCCTTTGCTGCCTATATAGACAGTAGTATTGTACCTAACTAGCGGCCTTCTAAGCGATACACCGGAGAAAGTCGTACGACCGGCGGGTATGCCTAAGATTAGCGAGTTTAATAATAAAGCGTCCGAGACTATAGACGAAGATCTCGGCGAAGAAGATAAAGAGCTTAGCAGCGATAAAGAAGTAGAAGCCCGCGACGATAAAGATAATAACTAGGAAGACGACGAGGAAGACGAAGAGGCACTTACTAATAAACGCTAAGCTGCTAAAGATGCTACGATAAAGCGTGTCCTCGATAAGCGGTATAAGGAGGTTAAGGAGCTTATAGCTAAATACAAGCTTAGTATTAGATATTTCGTAAAGTATTTAGTCGGTAAGCTAGGCGAGAAGACTTTATCTAAGTCCCGCAAGACTTAAAAGCGCTCTAAGCAATACGAGAAGAACCTTAAGGCTGTTACCGATGCCTTTCCGGAAGACCGCCTATTTAGCGCTCGTATTATTCGCAACGAGCTAAAGAGCCTTATTAGCAAGGATATGTTTAGCACATACGATCTAGACTTTTATACCGCCGAGATTGACCTAGCTATAATAGACGACACTATTTAGTAGGTTGCCCCTAAATAGTATTAGTTACTTAGTTAGGATCTGCTACCTAATATGCGCCGCGATCGTTAGCAATACTAGGCCGAGTTTGTAGACAAGCATAACGTTATACGTAAGCGGACGACATTCCTAACTGCGTAGATCCTATTTTCTATATCCTATATTAAGGCATTATTCCTTCTAAAGGTCCTTAGTATATTCCTCGTTAGTAACGGTGCGAGTCGCCGCACTATCGAGGTATTAAACAACCTAAACGTTACTCTAGTATACTAGACTATCTAGATCTTAATAGGCAAGAATGCTGATTATATAGAGATAGTAGTAGCTAAGCTCTGCAACTACCCGGACAAGCAGTATAGTACGACTATCGACAACTTTAATCGTATATAGAACCGCACCGACTAGGCTATAGGCGACACTAACTAGATAGTAGCTATAACGACCTCGTACGTAGCCGTAAACAAGCGCATTCTAAAGGGAGGCCTAAAGAAGAAGATGCTCTATTACGATAAGCCGCTTAATGCTAATAATATCTTTAAGAACATCTACGAGGACAAGGCAACTTCTGCCCGTAATAGAGAGGAGATTACTAACATTAGTATAAAGACCGCGCTCTTCTATATCGACGAGGCCTTAGCGTACACATTTCTAGAAGCCGTTAAGACGATATTCGAGAAGGAGAAGGCTAGCGGTAGTAATCTTAAGCGACTAGTATAGCCCGTTATCGATAAATTAGATCTAGCCCGTATAGAGCTATACTCTTAGCCTATATCGTTTAACGATAAGGCGACTATTAAGGGCATATATGCCGTCTAAGACGAGATCCTGTTAAAGTTCTAGGACCTAGATCGCGAGAAGGACTTTGCAGCTAGACTAGAGGGACCTCTATATCTGTAGAATAGTAACAATATAACTATCGTCCGTAGGTATAGTATACGTAACGAGAGTGTCGAGAACGAGGACCTATACGACAAGCGCGATAGCCTGCTTATGTCTCTAGCCTAGTTCTATACTATAATAAACTGCGTATATATACTCTTGTATACGTACTAGGATAAGAATAGCGAAGGCAAGCCTCTACTAAACGCCTAGATAGCAAAGGGCGATGCTGCCTTCTAGTATAGCGAGAACAAGGTTAGCAGTACGAAGCTAAAGTTCTTTAAGATCCTTCGACTTCTTAAGACTATATTCCGGGCTCGAGGTATCGGTACGACTATTAAGTAGTTGTCTAAGTAGGGCCGTATTGTAATCTCTAGCGAGGATAACCGCATATAGGCTATCGGAGAGGCTCTCTCTAGATTAACGGCTTAATAATACCTAGATATACTATAGGATATCTATAAGAAGCTCCTATCTGTCGAGGCCTAGCGTAGCTTGCCGTACCGCGCTAGCGAGGAAGTACCTAATACCTAGTACACTACTATAGCTCGTATAATATAGGAGATTGAGATGTTCCTTACGCTACGCCTTATAGTCCGCAATGCAGATATCGGTTATCTCCGTCGATCTGTCGACTATCTAATCCCTAACTTCTTTAGTACTAAGTAGGGCAACTATAGTCGGATAATGATCTATAAGCGATAGCTGCTTGGTCCTAGTTATAATAAGGTCCTTTAGGATACTATCCTTTCCTCTAGTATTGTTACTAACGGCAAGAAGGGCTATACGATAGTAGCTAATAAGCAGCTCGAGATCTACAACTACGAGTACTTAGAAGACATTAATCGCATCGGTAACTCGACTTATAACCTGCTAGCAACCTTTAAGAAGATCGCCCTTAACCGCGAGCCGGCTCGTATACTACGTAACATAATAACATCCTTTACTAAGATTAAGCCGAGTAGCTACTATACCTATAAGAATACATCTATTAATGTCTTTAGCCGTATAGAGAAGCTATTTACTAATAGCTTTATAGCTCCGTATAGCAATAAAGGTAGGCATCTGTCCGATAATATCTAGCAAATTAGTAGCAATTAGATCCGCGATAAGGTAGATGCCTTTAACTAGAGTAATAAGGACTACTTCGAAGGTCGTTCTACTATAATAGATGCCGTAATCGAAGACATAGAGGCTACTAAGGCTAGTCGCGAGGCTACTACCGATCGCGGTAATATTAAGAATGCTATTAATAAGAACGACTCTAAGTAGGTTGAAGCTGTTTAACGTGCTAATAGATAGGCTTAGCTAATCGATGCGGAGGTTAAGGTAGTCGATGCGACAGGCGGTAACTAAGATATAGATAAGGGCAGCGGTTACGGCGACTAAGAATAAATAAATATAGCTTTTATATTCGTCTATAGCGATCTAACCTGCTATATCTATTATTTAGCCCTTCTAGTACTAGCTTTATCTTCTAGGTGCTAGCATAGCTTCTAGGTACTAGTATAGCTTCTAGGTGCTAGTATAGCTTCTAGTACTAGCATCGGCTTCTAGGTGCCTTAGGCACTAAACTAATAATCGGCCGCTATCGCCTCGCCTTAAAGGCGCGGTTATATATAGCCGTTATTGTTGCCTTACTATTATTACAATAGCGCATTGCTATTAGTAGAGGCAAACCTTACCTACGTAGCGGATATCGACCTCCGCTTTCTAACCTCTTCTTCTTCTTCTTCTTCTATATATACACATATATACATATACTAATATACTAATATCCCTAGCAATATACTAGCTATCGGCTCTTAATAGTAATAGTATCGATACCTCTTTGTCGTATATAGGTAGCTCTATAGCGATTAACACTATTCCTTACTAGTTCTGCGGCTTGCTACCGATAGAGCCGCTTGTCTAATAGTTAAGGTTCCTCGGTAGGTGGTTTGTTTAGTCCTTCTTTCGAGGTCTCCGATAGGCTTTACCGACGTAAGACGTTGCGAAGGTAACTCTCCTAGCGAGTAGGTTGTTTTCTATAGCTTTAGCGGGCGCCGACTACGCATTTAACCGAAAGAGTATAGTTGTTATTAGATCATCGTAGTCTTAGTGCAAACTATAGAGGTCTTAGATAGATTAGCGGAGATAAAAACTCTTTAGTAAGGTATACCTATAATGCGGCTAACGGCCTAACTCGGTAAAAACTCTTTAGTAAGATACACCTTAAGTAGCGGCTCGATAGCGACTCTCCTACTAAGTAGGTTAATAGGTTCGTAGCATTGCTATAGGCTTCCTACGTTCGGATTCTTTATAGGATAATAGCTCTCGAGAACGCATCTAGTTAAGTCGGCGTAACGCCTTCGTTAGGACTATTAGATATAACCTTAGTCGTTACGTAAGGGCCTCTAGTATACTATGTACTTAAGCCCGAAGGCGCTTAGTCTTAGTCTTTACTACTGCTATACGACTATAGCGCTCGGCGTATTAAGACTGCTATACGACTATAGTACGTATCGACTCGAGTATCCCTAAACCGAAAGCGTATTAAGACTGTTATCCGACTGTAGTGCGTATCCCCGAACCGAGCGCGCTCGACAACCTTTTCCGCGGTATCTCTTAGAGATACTAAGGGCGCGGTTACACTCTATTGTTGTCTAGGAACCAATAAGTGTCGCTTTAGCGAATAAGCTGTCGTCGTTTCGCTTAATAAGCCCGTCCTATATACCTTGTCCTTCGGTTATACGTGCTGTAGTTAGTAATAGAATGCGTTAATTACTGTCGCCCTACGCGTAGTATATAGGCTATATGTAATTCTAGTAGCTTCGGGGCGTGTGCTTCTATAGCCGCTTAGTGCCGCTAGTTAAACAGATCCCCGGACGCTACTGTTCGTTTTCTCTGCCTTGTATAGTAAACCAGTTATCGGAATAATCGTTCTAGGGAGAGTCTAAGTAATAGAGGGCGTTAACGTAAGAGGGCTATCGTAGCTTCTCGAAGAGATATTCTTATCTCGATATACGTTATCGCTCTACGTATCTATCCTTGCCGTATATGTTGTAGTGCTAATAGCTGCGGTGCAATAAGTATAGTGTTAGTGCTGCTAGTGCTACTAGTGCTGCTAGTATCGCTAGTGCTACTAGTATCGGTGACTTCTCGCGGATACGGTTCTTAGTGCCCGAGGCGGCCGTCGTTATCGTATTAGACACTTTTGTTAGCGCCATTTGCTAGAAACGCGCGCAATCGACGTATCTCGCTATATTAGTGTTATAAAAGACGTAAAGGTGTTGTTAATGCGCGGAAGGAAGCAGCTATAACGTTTAATCCTACTAATTAAGCGCTCTGCCCTACTAAATCCGGGGTCTTAGCGGGACTCGGTATCCTTATCGCTTCCTCGAATTTACGCTTCTCGACTAGCTCCTATATACGATTTATTAACACTATCTACTATTAACTATCGACTATCTACTATTAACTATTATATAAGATAGGCTACGAGACGCGTTAACAGCTAAGGCAAACATACATAGCGAGCTTACAAGGATATAATAGAAGGGTAGTAAAGAGCCTATATAGCGAGCTTATAAGGACATAATAGACATTCGCTAGCACTCATAGAAACAGCTTAACTAGGCATCTTACGCTAGCTCTCGTAGAAGCAGCTTAACCGCGACACCTACGACTATCGATACCTACGACTATTTATAAGGACATAATTAGCGAGCTTATAAGGACATAATAGAAGGGTAGTAAAGAGCCTGCTTAGCGAGCTTATAAGGACATAATAGAAGGGTAGTAAGGAAGGACCTTATTAAATGCTAACTTTAGTACTATTCTAGTGCTATTCTAGTGCCAACTCTAGTGCTAACTCTAGTGCTAACTCTAGTGCTAACTCTAGTACTAACTCTAGTGCTATTCTAGTACCAATTGTAGCGCTATTTTACCGCCAACTTTAGCGCTATTCTACCGCCATTTAGGGTGCTATTCTAGCGCCAATTCTAGTGCTAATTCCACCGCCAATTGTAGTATTAACGCCTGCTAGGAGAGCTACCTTAAGAGCCTATTATACGTCGACCCGCTTCCGAGAGTCTACGCTTAGTACGCAATACGCGACCTCGCTCCTCGTTAGTACGAGAGACGGTGCTAAGAATCCGCTTAGCTCGAGTATATACCTATTTAGCAGTCGGATCAATCTATAGAGGTAGCTATCGCTAAGTACGTAGACTAAGACTACCGGATAAGCCTAGGCGCTCCTAGCCTCGAGTTCCTACTACCTAGCTATTACGGCTATATAGAAGATTAGCCTATATACTAGTAGAACCTGCGATACTAGCTCTTATCTCGTTAACCGCGTTCGTACGCTGCTATAGAGTAAACGGTGTTATAGCTAGCAAGGCAGTATTAGCTGCGCGTATACTAAGCGCGTTCTATACTGCCTATAGAGCAGCCTATTCCTCCGCCTCCTTCTCTAGATCCTCCGCAACCTTCTTCCTTATATTATAAATCGTACGCTACTTAGCAAACACCTCTAGACTAAGACTCTTAAGAGTATCGATCAATTTAAAGCTCGCGAATAGTTGCTCGTACTACTAAAGCTTCTAATACTACTCTATAAACACTGCCGCCTTTTCGCTTAAGAGATCCTAGTTAATAGTGATATCGTTCTAGGCATTAGTAGAGCTTGTAGCAGTAAACATATTAGCAATATTAGCTAGTAGAGGATTATCGATAGTCTCGGTTAAGGGGAGGTCGAATCTAATACGACTTAACTAGTATAGCTACCTAAGATTAGGTCGCTTAGAAACCCACTCCTTAAGCATTCTAAACCTAATGCCTAGTCGTGTATCGGCCCTTAGCGCCTTAAACTTTAGTAGAATAGCACCCTCTAGAGGTGTGTCGGTATACTAGTTATTTAGTGCTAGGCTACAGATATTGTAACAGTCTTCTACTACTAGTAGTTCCTAGGTATAGACTGCCTTATCCTCGCTAAGGTAGCGAAGTACGACTTTGCGCGGATATATACTATACTAAGGCCGGAGATAATTATTCTAGAACTTAAGCTAGATACGAGGAATGCCCTCGCGCTATCTTATCTTATCTTTAGACTAGTAGTCGCTAGTTTCTTTACCGCTAGCCTCCTCGCTATCCGTATTAGCGGGATCTTAGGTGCTAGGTATATCGGTATCTTCGCCTAGAAGCTCGGAGTAGCGAAGACCTAATAGTCGTAGTAGTGTATACGATCTACGTCGACCGCGAGGCTTAGGCTTAGACTTAGACTTCGTCTTAGTCTTAATCGCTAGATAGTTAGACTCTAGAGATAGCTGCTTAATGCGATTATCGACCTAGTACGGTAAGAAGATAAAGGCTAGGCTACGCGGAATAGCGCGACCGGTACGGCTAAGACGCTAGAAGACATCCTCGATGTCCTTAGCTTAAGTAAAGCCTACCTAAGCAACTCGCTTAATATCTAGTATATTAAGACTAACACTAAAGGCAGTCGTAGCAACTATAATACGATGTTCCGAAGGTCTATCTAGATAATCTGCGGTCTTATAGTATCGGTTGTAGCGACGCTTCTAGTCTCGCTTAGCGACACTGCTAGTATAGAATATTACTATAGTATAGACATTAATACCCTTATTGTCCTAGGTATACCGCTTCTTTAGATCCTCGCACTTAATAGTCGTAGCTATAAGCTAGTATCGGATAATATTAGCTAACTATTGCACCTACTTGCGGCTATCGATAAATAGTAGAGCCTTCTTAATATTTATTAGCGTAGCTGCTTTAGTCTCTAGGTCGGATGCGCTATCGATTGCCTAGTAGAGGTACTTATACTTAGACATCTGCTTCTCTAGAATAGTACAGAGAATATATATCGTATCCGGACGATCGATACTAGCGCGGATAATCTTAGTCTAAAACGGTCGATTGCTAACTAGCCGGAAGCTACTATACTAGAGTACAAAGTCCTCTATCTCTTAGGACATCGTCGTAGAACAGCCGAGCTATACTATATCATTTCGTAGTAGCTTACGTAGCGCGAAGATCTACGTATATTCCTTTCGAAAGTCGCGCTAGTAGTTAATAAGATAGACTTTATCAATTACTATAAGACCGATACGGGTACGAACCTTAGGATCCTATAGCAACTTTCGAAAGCCTAGACTAGCACCGGTCTCTAGACTTAGGATAATATAGTAGTAGGTGCTATCGCTAATATGCTCGTATAGCTTAGGGTAGAGGCTTATAGTTTCGGAGGTAATATTAACAGCGTTCCGAATGCTATCTAGTAGCGTAGGCTCGTTTGCCTAACCTATATAACCTACATAACCTACATAACCTATATAACCTGCCTAGACCTGTTATAAGCGGTTGTCGAAGGTCTTAGCCTATTCCTCGCTAAGGCGGTTAAGTAGTGTAAAATAGAGTGTTATTAAGCTAGTTAGGTATGTAAATGCCGTAAATACTAGGCTCTTGCCTTCGCCTATCTTCGCGACGTTTAGGACATTACTACCGCTAAAGATTAGTGTATATACTAGATCGGTCTAGGAGTCTCTCGGCTAGTAGCCTTTGCCTAGATAAAGACGATCTAATAGCTTAGCAAGGCTAGCGATAATAATGTTGCGGTATACATTCTTTGCTTCTAGGTAGGCCGCTACGTCGTATACGAGTTGTCGAACTTAGTCCTACGACAAGCGTATAGCCTCGTCGGCGGCGTTAATAAGATCGTAACGAGTCTAGAACTATACCTCGTATTCTTGCTTGTTCTATAGCTACTAGACCGGCGGTAGGTAACTAAAATCTAGGCGCTCTCGTATAATAGCGGCGCGACTAGGAAGTTGTACTAGAAACTGCTATTTACTAATCTAACTATTAGTACGTATACGCCTAGTAGCACGCTTATTATTGCGCTCCTTAGTCGCCTTCTGATTAACCTTGTTCTGCTTCTTTCTACTAAGATTCTTAAGAGGCATCTTAAAAAGCGGTATACGTTAGTTGCGGTACTCGAGTGTCGATAGCGCGGAAACTAGAAGTTAAAATCCGATCGGCGGTAGCGATAAGGTCGATAGGTACTAATATTAGATAGTACTAATCGGTATACTAATATATTAACGATTACAGAAGTCGAGTCGATAGTACGAAGGGCTGCTAATGTTTTTAGATGCTAGGCTTAATGTTAATGTCGGAGATGAAATTTGTAGGATATAGCGATAACGAGGTATACTTTTAAACACTCCGAATAGGCCTAGAAGTAACTAGCGGCCCTTCTACGAGTGTAATCGAGTGCGAGATCGTACTAGTTGCTACGGTAGCTATAAGTAAAGGCAAATAATTAATAGGGTAGGCTAGCGGAGGTATATAGCCCTAGGTAGCGAGATAAAGGCAAAGGTAGGAGAAATCGGGCATTCTAAGTACGGGAGGTTCGAGAGATAGTTAGTACGACGGCCCGTACGTGCTTTATTTAGACTTTTATATGCTGTTTGTATATAAGTAATACTAGGTAGGGTAGAACAAACGAGTCTCGTAGGAAACATGTCTTAGCGTATAGAAGATAACTATTTTAATTAACATTTTTACGAATACTTTATATAGACAATTCTATAGACTATATTAAGGCGTAGGACTCTTTTTCTAGGTTTGGCTATATTTAGTATAGTTGTTGTTCTATATATCGCATTGTGCTAAATACCCGTAGGCGTTTATATAAGGGACGGACGGTTTAACTTTAGGCGCTCCGCTATAGGCTTCGTATAGACCGCTAACTAGATATATATTAGTGTACTTAGTATATAATAATATAAGAACGATCGAGAATAGAAACAATCACGTATAGAATAGTATAGAAGGTAGAAGGTAGAAGGTGGAAGGTGCATGCAAGCCTACAAAGCGGGGCGCCTAAATGGAGGTAGTAGTTGTCTTCTTCTACAGTCTAGGCCAGTGCTTCGGCGGAGGGAGCGTAGGGTTCGCGATTGGAGGCAGTGATCTTGATCATAGGGGGGAATACAGAAGACCTCGCGGTGGTCAGCTCGGCGGTTTCGGTGGTCTGGTCAGGTTTTGAGCGCTTACATCATGAGGTGATGAAAGGGCATGAGATTTGGCTGAAGAGATCTCGGGAATGCCCCCGCAAACTCAATCTCGAATCCTACCGCCACGATCTGCCTCGGCTCGGCGGGCAACCTTAATACGCACGATGCTTCAGCACTTCCTACACCTACACCTGCGACATGCTGCCCGATTTGACATCATCAACTCTTCCGCTATCCATTATGCCTGCGTCTCGCTCAACCATGGATCAAAAGCTGGCTTCGAGTCACGTGCCTTTCGCGTGCTGTGTCCCTTGCATTCCAGCGTGCTGCGAATGCACACTCGCATACGGAGCGGTGCATGAGCACCACAAACAACACGACAACCATCTTTGCGAAATCTCCCGGTATCAGTTCCAGGAACAGCCGCATCCATGCCTCGTACTCAACGAAAGCCTCCGCCTTCTCCGCCCGTCTCCTCGCGTACGCGCAACGCGCACTCCCGCGCCTCCGCTCCAGCTCGCCTACAAACCTCAACCCGCCGCAGTCTCGGAGGCAGTCAAGCCAATGCCAGATCAGTGAGTCTTGATTCTGTCGCCGCGAATGAGCATGAGATCGAGAGCGGTGGGGACAAGGAGGCCGGGTTTGGAAGCAAGAGTAGCGAGGAGAGGGATGGGGATAGCAAAGAGCATAGCGATGACAGTGCGTACGAGGACGACGAGGGGCACGAGCATGGGGATGGCGGTGACAATGCGCATGAGGATGGCAGTGACAATGCTCATGAGGATGGCGGTGACAATGCGCATGAGGATGGCGGTGACAATGCGCATGAGGACGACGAGGGGCACGAGCACGAGGATGACGATGACAAGACTGAGCACAAGACTAAGCACAAGACTGGCAGAAGATGGGCTTGGATAATCCTCTTCCTTATCCCACTCTTCATAATCTGGGCTTCCTGGCAGTCCCCCGAGTCTCAGCCTCTGGCACCACCGTGCCATGTGCAGCGCAACCCGAACAATCTCGTCCCGTGTGCGATCGCGATCGACCTGAATCGCGCACTGTCTGCCATTCCTCACCACGCCCACCCTGCCAGCCCGGACGACCTCTTTTCATCTGCCGAGCCGAGTCTTGACGACCAAGTCATGCATGAGAAGCTTCTTGTCGACCGCTACGTTCAGCCGGCCGATCAATGGTACGCCAAGCTCGAGCGCATTGTCTTTGCCGCGATCAATACGGAAGCGGCCAACTCACGAGCAGAGCCAGACATCTCAGTGTCTTACATCTTACGTCTTCTCTTTCCTCGATTCGGCCTGATGCGTGAAGAGATGGCTGCTGCGAAATTGACAAGCAGAAAGCTCCTCCGCCATGTCTACGCCTACGCCAAACAGCGCCACTCAGGCCGCAAGGAAGTCGTTGGCCGCGCACGCCTACTCCTGCAGCACAGGATCGAACAGCAACAGCAACTCAACCAACAAGTCCATCACCTGTCGCGGAAGGCTGGCCACACCTCCACGGCGCAAGTCGTGCCCCGGCTTGAATCAGAACGACAAACCCTCATTCGCCTTCTCCTCTCCGAAGCAGTCCTAACCTGCTGGCTCGAAGGCATCGAGCAGCTCGACGCCGAACTCCACGCATGGTCCCACAAAGTCTGGACCGATGGGCAGGTCTTCCTCTATCGAGTCCGCCACATCAAGAACGACACGCAACTTCTTCGCCGCACAATTTCGGACCAAGCCAAGCACTGGTCCGATGAAGCGAGAACCATGGTGGACGACGCTTACAACTCCGGCCTTGCTACGGAAAGGAGTTGCGCAAAGAGATGGGCTGAGAGCAGAATTGGGTACTGTGTCGCTGATACGAATGGAACTGGAACCGGAATCAACATCTATCAGAACTGGACTGTTCTCGACCGCACAGGTTCCGGCTGCATTTCTCACCCAAACCCCACCCTCTGGGAATGGCACAACGCTATTCCCATGAACCTGGACTTCCACCACGACGCCGATCAGCCTTTCTCATCATGCTCTTCTTCCTCCAAAGATGTACGGCACTCCTCCTCCCGATGTGCCCGGCTCTGGATTCACCGCGTCTTCACTCATGCCGACCTTGCGAACTACACGCGCATCGAAGACAAGTCGAAGAGGGGCGTCACGATCCAGTTTGGTACGAAGAAGCCATTGGGGATTGGACCTTTGAGATTTTGGAGGCCTTTGGTAGCAGGAAGGGCGGAAGATAAGGTAGGGAGGAGAGGTTGAGCAGGGCTGGGAAGCAGAGGAAGAGGGAGGGAGTGAAGGATGTATGGCGAGATGAGATGGGGAGCAAAAGTTATATGTTTTTCGCACGTAGAGTCGTAATGAAGTTTTGACAGTACTGACCTGGATCCAGTCGACTTGATGCGCATACATGTAGCGGCGGTGGATTGCAGAGAGAGATGAAGTGAAAGTCTCAAATCACTTATGTCTCGCTGGGGATGCTGTAACCTGCCGTAGAACTCCGAGAGCCGACGCTGCCTCAAACGTGACGTGCAACATCGACAACACTTTGTTTTCTTTAGAAGCCTGCAAGATGGAAGACGGAGAAGAGGATTCATACGAAAAACAATGTATTCAGTCTTTACAGGCAGAGAATCGACGTCTTCGAATGCAACTTGAGTACAAGTGCGTGGTGTGCGATGACCTCTACGGCAAGCTCGAAGACCGCGATTCCGAACTTGACCAACTGCGGGCCGACCGCTCACTCAGACACACCTCCGCGTCCGCCAGCACACGACATGTCAAGCGCAATCTGACTCACGACCAATGTGGCCAATGCCAGGCGCTTCGCCAGGAGATTGCGCAAGTCGTCGCCGCTCCCGAGAAACCTTCTCCGCCCACGCCCGCGCCGAACAGTGTCCAGAGAGCTGCTGCCGTCGAGCTTGTCCGCTCACATATCACCTCCGAACTCGCAACCATTCATACCCGCCTCGATCTTCTTGACCGAGAAAGTGCACAACGCAGCCAACAGGTCCACGATGAGCTTCAGCTTCTGAGCCGAGTGCACGCCAGCCTTTCCGACCTCTTACACGGCATGCCACACGCATTGCAGCGCGCCGTCCAGAACAGCACCACAGCGAATCCCATCTCCCATAGCAGCGCCTCTCCGAGCAGTGTCGGTGATGGGACGAGCACGTTTGGAAGCGCGCGCGGAGAGAGGCTCGGCAGTCTCGACTCAGCAGCCTTCTCAGCAGCTGAGTTCATCGGCCAGCAGAACAACCTTGAGCGCTCCATGAGTGCCAGAAGCAGCAACAGGACAAGTGGCAGAAGCAGGACCAGGACAGGTGACAGTGGTGGGACAACTCATCTAAAGGCGCTTGAGTCCAATTGGCACGCTGCAGCGCCCACACTCGGTCAGAAGCCGGCATTTGTGCCGCCAGCACCCTCTCCCTCCTTTGCCCTCTACTCTCGGCGGTGGGACCAAGCAGAGGTCAAGGCAAGATCTGGCTTGAAGAAGATGCATGATGGGTGGTAGGTACATGACACTGTTGTCGGGAGATACGTTCGGGGGTGAAACATTTGCACCGGCAGTCGGCAATCAGACAGAATTGGGCAAAGAATCTTCTCGCTTTCCATTGTCCGGCAAGTTGCCTCTTCCTCCTTGCTTTCGCTGCCGGCTGGCGAGCTTCGAACTCCAGGTAGGTGAGCTCGGAGCCACAGACTCGGAGCGGCGGCGTACGCATATGAGTCTTGTCGAGGTCTCGCCTTTCTCTGCCTCATCCGAACTCATGGAGACATGCTGTCCAGAGTACATACACTCCGCCTGTGCTCGCGAATTGGGGTCGGACTGGAGTCTGACTTTGGGGAAGCTGGCTTTCCAGCACACACATATGCCATCACAACATCGCCATTTCGCAATACTTCATCTTCATATTTCATGCGCTTGTTTTATGCATCAAGACCTTTCATTTGCGCCATTGTGTACATCTATACGTTGTGTTTGTGGCGTGTTCTCGGTGGAGAGGGCTAGCAGCTGCCTCAATACCAGCCCGCCCAGCTTCGGAGGTTTGACGGGCTTCGCCGACACAAGCTTGGCAAGACGAAGCGGTTCGACCACACTGTCAACTACACCGCAATGCACCACCACATTCCATCACAATTCATCACCGATAATTTTCATTTCGTAGAACTCGATGACCCGATTCTTTTGGTGCAAAAATCAGTATATTTGCATCGCTGTGTGACGTGCATTAATTCGTCGAAGTATTGGGCCAGAACGCCGAGATGCTGACAACGTCGGCTGAGGAAACACAGGCGGGAATCACGAAATCCTCGCATACGTGCAGTGAGATGATGCTTCAAGAACGGAGCGTTGACTTGTTATGATGTGTACGAATTCAAACTCCTTCGTCGGCAGGCTGGATACATCTATCGACAATTCTGTGCCTACTGAGTACTCTCCTCCGGGCGGCTGATGCTGTCGATGAGATTCCGCCGACGCCAGCAACGACTCGACGAGAAGGAAGTCCGAGGCTGATCGGAGGTCGGAGGTCGGCACGCAGCGAATGTCCGCTTCTACAACTCGACGAATCCCCACCAACTCCAGCATCACACCACGCCGCAGTGCAGTGCAGCAACAGCAATCGTGGGATGCCTCGCCTTCACACAAGCTGCGTGCTCAGTCACGTACCATCAACGGCCACTGCTGCTTCACGAGCCCTTCTCCTCTCGTCGTATGCATCCAATCATCTTTCTCCACCAACGACCTGCAAGATGCTGCAGCACCCTCTTCCTGCCGCCAGCTGCGACCAGCCGGCAGCCAGCTTGTGCTGGTCGCCTCCGACAAACGACGCATCAATCATGAAAAACATCTGCTGAATCCCACGCTCCTCACCTCACCTACACACTCTCTCCTCACAACTCACCCCAGAGCTGCAACACCAGCTGATTCGAGCAGGCGAACGCACATTCACCATGCCTCGTCACCGTCGCTCCGCCCGTGACAAGAAGGTGGCCATGACCGACTTATTCCTCCCAGCTCGTGCTGGCTGACTGACTGACTTGTGAACAGAAGCCTGCCTTCGTGGATGAGTCCGATTACGACAGCTTCGACTCCGAAGCATCTTACCGCTCCAGCTCCAGCTCGTCTTCCCCGACCAACTCTACAACCAACAAGGCCAAGGCAAGCCAATATCTCCTTGCCTTTGGTGGCCGCACGGAATCGCAGATTCTCGACTCAAAGCGATTCACGTTCAGCAACAACGACAAGACCGCCATGTTCAAGCATGCTGTCAATTCTGGTTATTGCAAGCGATCTCTGCCTACCGTGGAGCAACTCTTGGCCCTGGCGAAGTCGATGAACGTCCCGATCGGGGCTACCAAGCTCACAGAGACTTGTCTGAAGAAGATTCTCTCCTGGATCTCCAACAACGTCAGCAACGAGAAGACCAAAGGTCTGATTGTGGAAGAGGATCATGGCTACAAGTGCTTTACCATCAATGTCGCCCAAGGTCTGATCAATGCTGTGAACGAGCCTGGCTTCACCTTCAACTGGCTCAAGAATGACAAGCTGATGAAGCAGAAGCATCACGGTGCAGGACAGACATGGGTGGCCATCGGAAACATCAACGAGGCTGGAGCGACCGCCATTGTGAAGGATGCCATGAATTATGTCGCATCGAATCCCGCGGCCTTTTGTACTCCACGAGCATCGGTTGCAGCAACTCCTGGCTTCCTCACCGCACCGAAGCCAGCAAGCACTCTCTCGCCAGGTTCCCAAACTGCGTCGTTGTCGACGCCGACCGCTCCTGTGTCTGTGATGCCGCGTCCTTTCGCTACTCCATCCTCCACAAAGCCTCCACGCTTCAGCCTCGAGGACTCTCCCAGCGAAGACTCCGACGTTGATGATCAGCCAGGTACTCAGAAGAAGAAGAAGGCAACTATCAAGCAGGAGCCCTTCTCGCCGCTCTCGCCTTCGTCGTCATTCTTCCAGACTCCAACGCCTTTTCCACGTACTCAGAAGAAGGATGAGGCAGAAGGCATGACTCCTCTCTCTTCGACACAGAAGTCGAAATCGAAGTTCAGAGGAGCGCATACGCCCACGCCCACGCCCATTTCAGCCAACACGGTGGAGGACAAGCAGGAAGAGATCCTGTCTCCATTTCCTCCGGCCCAACAGCAAAAGCATGACTCCAAGTCCATGACACCTTCTGCTGCACTCCCAGTGGCGGCCTTCTCACTCACATCCCCGCTCCTCCCACTTCCAACTGCTCTTCCGCAAACTCATCAGGAGAGTCTCAAGCAGGAAGGACACTTGACTGACCCAGCTTCTTCCTCTTCGCCTCGTGAGCAAGAGATCGAACGCCTCAAGGTGAGCTTGCGTGGATGCAGCTACTCCGACGCCGACATCGCAGCCATGGTCGATCATCGCCTTGCTGGCAATACCAAAATTCCGGATTCCACCAACGTTGCTGCCACCTCACCAGCCTATGGCAATCTCAGCTCTGGCCATCTCAGCTCTGGCAATCTCAGCTCTGGCAGTCCCAGCTCCCACAAGCCCGGCATTTCCAAACTCAACGAGCCCAATGTCAAAGCGCAGGACATTGCCGAACTCGACGAGCCCAAGGTCAAAGCGCAGGACATTGCCGAACTCGACGAACCCAAGGTCAAAGCGCAGGACATTGCCGATGATGTCAAGGATACGACGGACAGTGATGATGACGAGGATGAAGTCTCGATGCTAAAGCAGCAAATGCAGTTGCTTGCTTTGCAGCTTCAGATCCAAGAGGCGAAGGCCAAAGCCAAGAAGGCGAAGAAGGCGAAGAAGGAGGAGGGGCAGAAGAAGGCTGATGTCGTGTGATCGAAGCTCGTTCGTCGTTGGATTCGCAGGTCTCGGGTGAGCGAGGGCGTGGCGTGGCGTGGTTGTTGAGGAAGCGTAACTGAGATTGTGAACGTAGAAGCTTACGAACGAATTTACGATTGATTGAAAATAGGGATGGATCTCCTTTGTTAGGTTGGGTTTGGGAATAGAGTAGGAAAGAAAAGCAGATAGAGAAGAACGCAAAAAAAAGATAGGCATGTACTTATAAACTCACTATAGAAGCAAATTTCGGTAAGCCTACGAGTATAAAACATATATATCGTTTCTTTACTCCTTAATTAGAAACAAATACAGCCCGACTTGATCTGACTTAACCACTAAGAGTATTATTACTTATTTTAATATGTTTGTTATATAGAGAAGATAATATTTAAGATAAAATTCAAGATAATATTTAAGATAATATTTAAGATATTAATTGTGCTTTATCTAAGGAGAATAATTATCCTATATTATATAATACAGTACGTAAAATATATAATAATAGAAAAAATTCTTGTATTTTAGATAGAAGATATCTTAATATTAACCTACAAAATAAGCTATTAGCTATTTTGTCTAAGGTAGATCTTAATGTTTTTAAAGAGTCTTCTATATTAGATAAGGTAGAAGGTAACACTTTTACTAGTAGAATTACTTATAATATAAAGGAAGATATACAGTTTAGTCTATTTACTCCTAATGCTTTAAAAGATATAGAATTAGAAATAGTTAAGGTAGATAAAACTATTAAATATATTATAGATAGTATATATTTATCTCTTATAGATAAAAGAAAATTATCTATACTCCTAGAAGAGTAAGAATACTTTACAAACTAATATAAAAATCATATAGATACCTTATTACAAGATAGTAAAAGATCTTTAACAAATACAGAGACTAGAGAAAAATTAGCATCTAAAATGTAAACGGAACTTAAACTTTATAAAGAAAATATAACAGATTACAAAAATAAACTTAATAACGATATTAAACCTACAAACAATATATTAAAAAGTACTAGAGAGGTTAGTACTAAGTAATTGGAAAAAAAAGAATCAAGTAATAAGGAAATTAGTACTATAGAATCTATATATAATAATGTTTCCTATTATATTAGGACATTTTATAAAATTAGGATCTTTTTTTGTTTACTTATATAAGTAGATACTAGGAGTTTAATTTATTAGTATAATTATTATCTTTATCTACCTTACAACTTACTCAATCGATATTAACAATATAATAAAGATAATTTTTTTAACTTACAACCTTCTATAATAACCGTTCTTTTTTTTTCCTATCTAGAATATTTCCTATAGCATTTTCTACACTATCTAATATAGATTTATCAAATCGTTCTAGATATTTACTATCTAAATATATTTCAGTATAGATAGAAGCTCGTAAAACCTTCGAGGATTCTACTTTATCTATAGTAGTCCTAAAACAATTATAAACTGTATAGAATTGTGCTACTTTATATAGTTTAAAGAACTTAATAGTTAATAAACTTAAAGAACTTCTATCTAGAGAGTATATAAGGTTAGGCATTAAAGCTCTAATTTGTTTTTTCCTATTATATTTATCTTTAATAGTAACTCTAATATTTAATTTAGCCTTATTATACTTAAACAAGCTTTAAGAGGTAGACATAGTTCCTAAGTAACTCTGTCTAATTGTTATACTATATAGTAAAGTTTATACTATAGGTAGTTCTAATAGATTTAATATATAAGCTATATTTCTAAGATAGACAGTTAATCTCTTAATTTTCTTACAATCTTTTATAACTATTTGTTTTATATTAGCGACGAGTCTAAACATATCTAGAATGTTAATCTTATTATTTTTTTCATTAATTGAAATAGAATATTAATCCTCTTCCGGGGGTAAATTACTAGGATCTAGCTTATGTAAACTACCTTTAATATAGTCAACTGTAGACCTAGTAGTAGCATTGTAAGTAATAGTTATAATAGCCTTTTTAATATAGCTTCTTTCAAAATAAAAAGCTGCTAATCTTTTATAAGAAACAAATTCTTTTTGTTCGTCTTTACTCCTATTATATATTTAAGATAATACTTTAAATTTGCGTTTAATTAGCATATATAACTTATATTATAAGAAACTATAGAAATCCTTATGCTTACTATTATTCTTATTTATATATAGGTTTAATATAGTAAACAACGTCTTTTTATTACTTAGTAGTGCTATATATTAGAAGCTATTATATATAGCGTTAAGTTGTATAGGTAGATATATAAAGAAATGTATAACATTTTCTATTTAATAAAGTTTCTATAACGTTTGTACTCTATACAAAATAATGTAAATAGAAACTTATCTTTAGCTTTATTAATTAAGTTACTATTGAAGGACGGAAACCAACACTACCACTACCACTTGTAGCAATAGTACGGGCTACCGAGGGTAATATAACCTATAGCAATATAGGCAGCTATGTTTAGCAAGATAGGATAACGAGACTGTCGCTTAGGCTAATAACTAGAGCCCTATAGCATAGGCATTGTAGAAGTATAATATAAACAATATACTATACGAGGTTGATAATCTATCTACTCTATAGAAGGAGGCCTCTTATATAGGCTTAAAACTAGCCTATAGGTATAGGGCCGGTTACTAGCTAATATCCCTCCCTTTCTTCGTATCTAACTAGACACGTTTCACATTATACGCGCTTAAAACAAACATGTATGCATCCTTAGCGCTCTTAGCTAAGGCTATTCTTAGAACTCCGCAATAACACCCCCGGGGTAGTATTAATCCTAGATACTATAATTATGCAAAAACAACTTCCTAAGCAATACTATATAGACTTACTATTGCTTCAACGCGCCGTAATCCTTACTAGCAATAACCTTATCTGCTAGTCGGCTCTCGAAATCTCCTCCGCACGCGTTAAAGCTGTTAGCACCGAAGTACTATCCTTCGTAGAAAGCTTAATTAACGAGGAGGTTAATAGCCTTTTCCGTCGTAGCTTTCTTCTAATCGTATAGATATTCCTTAAGTCCCTCGTTATTAAGCTAGAGGATCTATTTAACTTCGTTCTAAATAACGTAACTTAACTAAGGAATCCTACTAACTAGGGCGTCGGAGATATAGCCGAGGCCTTCGACTAAGATAGCCGTAGGGAAAGCGAATAGTACGAAGGAGTTAGAGGCTAGGAGGGCGGTTAGATTGCGGTACGCTTTAGCAATCTAAGAGACTGTTAAGTTCTCGTAGCCCTTAACCTTAGTGCCGTTAATAACGCGAGAGTAGCCTAGGTTAATCGATATACGGTTGCTCTTAGTCTTTAGATTACTATATAGCAGGTATAGTATCTAAATAGAGACCTCGCACTCCTTTAGAGGGTTAAGGATCTACTCCGCCTTACGCCCCTTACTATTAGGCTAACTATCGAATATATAGTCGAGGTCGTCGTCGGTAAGGTGCTTATTAGTAAGCTTACCGATCTTGCTTAGTAGGACTAGGCTACGAGCCTTAAGCTTCTCAACCTAGTTCGCAAAGACCTCGGGCTAATATATGCCTTCGATAATAGTAGAGTAGCTAGTCTTATCCTTAGATATAAGGTAGACCTTAATACGTAGGTAACTAGCACCCTCGCTAGCTACGAGCTTAACTATATCTTGTCCGAGACGAGCAGACTCCTTAGAAGGACAGTTTTTATAAGTACCGCTAACCTTAAAGAACTTAGTAGGCTTAGGGATAGAGATAAGCTCGTATACGTAATTAGGTCGAAGGGCGATAGCTAAGAGCTATAGGGCAGGGTGCTAGCGGACGATTTAGTTGCTTATACTATAAGTTTGAAAAGCATTGCGGCCTTCCTACTTAGCCTTAGGCATCGCACGTATATACTAAAGGTACATTTTAAACTCCTCCTATATTAGGTCGATAAGGAAAGGAAGATATACTCTACGAGGCTCTTACAACTAACTAAAGACTTAAGGGAAGATAGCATTGCTAGTCTAGCGAAAGCGGTCGAAGGAGGTACCTTAGCTAAGGATGCCGGTAACGAACTTGCTCTAGCGATCCGTTAGCGTAAGGGCGCGAGTAATAGTACTAGTAGGGTTAAACGCGTAGAGTCCTAGAGATGTTAGGGCGGCAATAGGGCGTCTAGGAAACTAGTTAGCATAGGCCTAATTAGCCTTAAGGGCAGCGAAGGCATCTTAATTAGCGATATTACGTCCAATCTTTAATAGGCGGCTAATAAGGACACTCGTCTTAGCACTAGCATAGAGACTATAGACCTTAGCAGCCTTCTTAATATAGTTAGTATATATAGTAAACCGCTCTTTACCTAGCTTGCTAAGGTCGTCGAGCTATTAATAGATAGATAGGGCGGCAGGAGCTTTACCTATATCGGCTTTAGGAACTATATCGATCTTAGTAATAAGGTACGTAATAGAGTCGCCCTTATAAGAACTATAGATGTTCTTAGTTAATAGGATCGGCGAGAGGCCTCTATCTCTACGCTCGCTAAAGGAGCCTTCGGAGGAGACATCTTCTAGTAGTATATCTAGTATATTAATATCCGAGTTACTATAGTTAGTACTATAGTTAGTACTATAGTCGGTACTAGAAGGAGTGCTATACTTCTTGCTAGCCTTGCGGAGGGCCTAGCGAGTATACAATGCCTTCTTACGCGCTGCTTCGGCCTTAGCGCGCTCGTCTTAAACTTCTTAAGGGACCTTGCGGTTGCGGGTCGAGCGACGATCTTTAGCCTACATTTCTATAGCGAGCGTAAGACTAGTAGCCGTATCGGCCTCGGTTTCTAGGCGAAGAGCCTTACGTTTAAGGACATTAACGATAGGAGCCTCTTAACCTTTAACAATAAAGCCTATACTATTAATACGATAGCCCTTCTCTTTTAGTAAATCCTTAGTTGTCTATATATTGAGATCGACCTAGACAATCGCATCGTAGTGCTTCTTCTAGTAGGCTGTCGTAAAGTCGTTAAGCGCAAAGGACAAGTTAAGTAACTACTTGCCTACCTTCTTACTAGCTATAGATATACGATAGATTATAGTACGGGAAAGATACTCGGCGCCTTAACGACGGACCTTATACTTGTTAACGAACGAAGAGACCTGCTTAGCACGCTCTTGTCTACCGTAGGCGAAGTTAATAAGGCTCTTAGGAAGACTACTTAGTCCTCCCTAATGTTCGAAGGCCTAGTCGAGGGTCTTAAAGCGTAAACGAATCTAGGTACCGGCTGTCTCGAGGCTATAAACGATAGGAAAGGCTTATTCGATATCTATATCGTTAAGGACCTCGCGCTTAAAGATACGCTTACCGATAGACTAACGTAAGTTATTTATACCGTACGTAACTAAGATAGTAGCCTTCTTAATGTTCCTATTAATAACGCGTAGTAGGGTACGAGCGTTCTAGATCTTCTCTTAAGGGTCTTTAAGGGCGGTAACGATCTAGAAGCAGTACTCGAGGCTAGTTGTAGTAGCTAAGGCGCTGTCGGAGGGGGCTTCGATCGGGACTAGTACGCCTAGGTTTAGGGCTAGTAGGTTACTACTACTACTAGCGCCTAGCGGATTTAGGGCACCGGAAGATATCTTAGTCGACCGGAGCGGAAAGGAGTTAGTAACGAGCTTGTAAAAACGTTCGTAGCTTGTTAATAATAATTAAAGGGTTTAGATAGAAGAGGGGGGGGGGGTAGGCGGTAGTAAGTTAGTTAGTATTCGAGTAGAAGAAAGAGCTTAGAAGGCTCGCCTTAAATAGGGTGCGAAGGTAGCGTAGTCCGTATGTTCCGGTAAAGCAAACGGATAACGATTACATATAGACCCTAAAAAGTAAAGCTATATACGAGACTCCTTTATTAGTAGGGCGGCTAAAGTTTAACAATCGATCTAGCTAATTGCTAGTAGCGACTACGCGCCTTTTATTAACCTCTAGCTTTCGTAGATTCCCGCGCACTCGAAATGTAACTAGTTAGTTCGAGTACCTAGTAGTAATCTATAGTAGTAAGATTAGCGGGACTAATAATACCCCCGGGGTAGTATTAGCTTTTCTCTAGAGATACTCGGCAACTAGGAGTAAATCTCCTAGGCCTAGCGTAGCTTATATTAGCCTATAGCACTATCGTTATAGATGCAGCATTACCTTTTATAGTAGCAGGCATGTGAACGTAGCCCGTACGTTCTTCTTTCTTCTAGACACTAAGCTTAGCGGCCTAAGGTCCCTATCCTTAGAGGCTATAGGCCTAGGTTGCTACGTCTATCTAAGAGCTAGGAAGGGAGAGGGATCCTCCCTTTCTTAGTATTCTACGTAACTAGTGCTAATTATAGCAGGAACATCCTCTAGTAGAGTACCTTGTTGTCGTTGCTACCTAAGGACAGTTACTAGAGACTAGGAACCTAGAGGGAAGTAGTCCTAGAAGGGTAGAGGGTTAGGTTCGGCTATTTTCCTAATACTACCCCCGGGGTATTATTAGGAAAACACGCCTCGTATAGTTCTATCTAAGGAAATAAGAGTAAAGGAATAAAGTTATAGCAATATTAATCGAGGAGGGCAAAAGACAAAAGAGCAAAACAATAGACAAGGTAAAAGCAAAGGAGGGCAATAACTAAGAGCATTAACATCCGTAGGAA